AAATTTAGTCTTAACATAAAGGACAAGGTTTAATGTTTTGGTTAATGGCCCCTCAGTTAATAATGCAAACTTTATTGAAGAGAATAAAATATAGACACTTATTAAAATGTTAATTTTTTTTCCTTTTGGGGAAGGTTTTATTATTTCGAATCTAACTAGAATGAAATAACCTCTTTTAAGCAACACAATAACTCTTCTGAAGAACCTGATGGTGTAGTGGTCAGTTGTTGGTCTGCAAACAAAAAGGTCAACAGTTTGAATCTACCAGCCTCTCTGAGGGAGTAAGATGGGTGTTCTCCTCCTGGAATGATTTAACCCAGAAAACTGGTGGAAGGATCTGTGAGCTGGACTGACTAGACAGCAGTGGGTTTCGTTTATTTTGGTTAATAGCTCTGTTAGAATAGGGCCCTGCTGACAGAGTGTTTAACCAAAAGGTTGGTGGTTTGAACCCACCAGCTACTCCATGGTAGAAAGATGTAGCAGTCTGTTTCTGTAAAGATTTGTGACTTTGGAAATCTTAGCTGTCATTCTACTCTCTCCTACAGACAGAGGCAGAATTATGCTAAACTACTCACTACCGGCTAGTAAATAAGAAGAAAGTTGGTACTTATCTACAAGGGCCTCTGTCCATAAAAGGGATTATAAATGTGAAAAGAGGCTTTGTAGAATGGTCATGTGTAGTTGGGAGAGATATACTGTAGCCATAGCTAAAAGTAGAATCTTTGATGTGGTGAAAAATGTCAATTGGTATGTGATTAAGACAGACTAGGAAGAAGGACTGGCCATCCACTTCTGAAAAAGCAGGCCTCTGAAAACCCTATGTACATCAGAACACATGTAGATAACAGAAAAGGCAACTGAGGTTGAGCTTGCAAGAATGGAAATACAAAGGATGAGGGACAGTTGTAAGCAGACACTAGTGACTGGGACATGGAATGTGAGAACCATTAATGTAGAAAATTAGATATTGTTAAGAAAGAAATGGAACGCATAAATATTGACATACTAGGCATTGGCAAGATGAGATGGACTGGCATGGGGCATTTTGAGTTGGATGATCAGGTATTACTCTGGAGATGAAAAGGTGAGAAAAAATGGAGTTGCTTTCATAGTTAAAAAGGTCATTGCTAGATCCATCTTGACGTACAATGTTGTGAGTGACAGGATAATATCCATACGCATACAAGGAAGTCCAGTGAATACCACTATCATTCAGATATATGCACCAACAACCAGAGCCAAGGAAGAGGATATAGAAGATTTTTACCAACTTTTACAATCGGAGATCAATCGAACGTGCAATCAAAATGCATTGATAATAATGGGTGACTGGAATGCCAACGTTGGTAACAGAGAAGAAAATTCAGTAGTTGTATTGAATTTTGCACAATTACTTATTCATAGCAAATATGTTTTTTAAGAGACATAAACAGGCTATATACATGGATTTCACCTGATTGTATGCATAGGAATCAGATAGATTATTTCTGCAGAAAGAAAGAACCGCTGGAGAAGCTCAATATCAGCTGTGAAAACTAGACCAGGAGCTGATTGTGGAACAGACCACCAACTACGCATATGCAAGTTCAAGCTGAAGTTAAGGAAAATTAAACCAAATGCACGGGAGCCAAAATATGACTTTGAGTCTATCCCACCTGAATTTCAGAACCATCTCATGAACAGGTTTGAGGCCTTGAACACTAATGAGTGAAGACCAGACGACTTGTGGGAGGATATCAAGGGTATCATCCAGGAAGAGTGCAAACGGTCATTGCAAAGACAGAAGAGGAAGAGAAGACCAAAATGAATGTCAGAGGAGACTCTGAAAATTGCACTGCAGTGCAGAGAAGCCAAAGCACAAGGAAGAATTCAAGATACTGAAGAGTTGAATAGAAGATTTCAAAAGGCAGCACAGGATGACAAAGTAAAATATTACAATGAAATGTGCAAGGAGTTGGAGTCAGAAAATCAAAAGGGCCGAACTCGCTCAGCATTTCTGAAGCTCAAGGAACTGAAGAACAAATTCAGACCTCAAGTTGCTATAATCAAAGATCATTATGTTAATTGATATTAAATTATTAAATTTATTTATATTTAATACAGAATACTAAATGATCCAGGAAGTATTAAAAGAAGATGGAAAGAATATACTGAGTCACTGTATCAAAAGGAATTGGCAGACACAGAAGAATTTCATGAAACAACATATGAGCAAGAACCTATGGTGATGAAAGAAGTTCAGGCTGCTTTGAAGGAAATGGCAAAAAATAAGGCCCCCGGAATAGATGGTATACCAATTGACATATTTCAGCTAACAGATGCTGACCTGGATGTGCTCACCAAGTTGTGCCAAGAAATCTGGAGAACAACCACTTGGCCAACTGATTGGAAGAGATCTATATTTGTTCCCATCCCAAAGAAAGCTGACCCAACAGAGTGTGGAAGCACAGAACAATCTTATTGATTTCACATGCAAGCAAGATTCTACTGAAGATCATTCAGAAACGACTGGAAGAGCACATAAGCAGAGAACTGCCAGAAGTCCAGGCTGGGTTTAGAAGGAGTTGTGGTACTAGGGATATTGTAGCTGATGTTAGATGGATCTTAGCTGAAAGCAGAGAATACCAGAGGAATGTCTATCTGTGTTTCATTGACTATGCAAAAGCGTTTGTGTGGATCATAACAAACTGTGCTGACTCTGAGAAGAATGGGAATCCCAGAACACTTGATCGTTCTAATGGGAAACCCATACTTGAACCAGGAGGCAGTCGTCAGAACAGAGCAAGGGAACACTGCATGGTTCAAAATTGGGGAGGGCGTACGCCAGTGATGTGTCCTATCTCCCTCCATACCTTTTCAATCTGTATGCAGAACAGATCATCCAGGAGACTGGGCTCTATGAGGAGAAATGTGGGGTCAAGATTGGTGGACGATCTATCAACAATCTGTGTTATGGATTGAGGCTCAATGTCAAGAAGACAAAGATTCTCACCACTGAGCCAGTTGGCAGCATCAGGATGGATAGTGAAGAGATTGAGAGTGTTCACAGGTTTAGTTTGCTTGGCTCTATAGTCAATACTCTTGGCACCAGTAGCCAGGAAATTAAAAGGCGCATTGCCATGGGAAAGTCAGCTGTTAGGGACCTCTCCAAAGTACTGAAGAGCAATGGTGTCTCTCTGGAGACTAAGGTGCATTGCCCCTGATACAGGCCATGGTCTTCGCAATCACTTGTTATGCATCAGAGAGTTGGACAATGACCAAGGAGGACAGAAGGAGAATTGATGCCTTTGAGCTGTGGTGTTGGAGAAGAGTATTGAGAATGCCATGGACTGCTAGGAAAACAAACAGATACGTCCTGGAAAGGGTTAAACTGGGTGGCTCCTTGGAGGCAAGGATTCTGAGGCTTCGTCTGACATACTTTGGTAATGTTGTAAGGAGAGACACGTCCTTGGAGAAGGACATCATGCTTGGGAGGGTGGAGGGACAGCGCAGGAGGGGAAGACCCTCTATGAGGTGGATTGATTCAGTGACTGGCGTAATCGGGATGGGAGTGTCAGAGACAGTGCAATTGTTACAGGACAGAGCAGAGTTTAGAGCTGTTGTACATAGGGTCGCTATGAGTCGGCATATAACAACAACAACATATGTAAACACCTTAAGTCTGGGGGTAGCTGGCTAACCAGGCAGCATGACAAGGCCTACAGGGTCACTATGAGTTGGAAAGACTTGACAGCAGTGGGTGGTGGGACAACTCTATTATGCCACACATTCAATTATACCTCGGAACAGTCCCTGGCAGACTGTTTGTATCCACCAGCTGCTCCTTGGAAGAAAATGGGCAATCTTCTCTCATACTGATTTAGTCTCTGGACTCTTTGGAAGGTCAGCTATGAGATGGTTAGGAGTATGCTAATGGTACATATCAAAACAAACTGATTAAAACAGTTCCCTCTCCCTGTAATCTGCATAGCGAGTTTGTCTAGGTTTTGTCCCTGATCTCCCAAAGTTTTGAGTCAAGAATCTGAGACATCTTAAAAGCGGAAGTGGAAACGATGGAATTGTAGTTGCAGTTGTCTGTAAGTGTGTCTTAGAGAAGTAATAACTAATTTTGTGTCGTAAGGGCAGGAAACTTCGGTTCCAATTATTTGACCACTCACTGTGACCTTGACATCAAGTCAGAACTGACTCACAGCGGACCCTCCAACAGGTTTTCACATACTGTAAATCCCACAGGAGGAAACTGCCCATCTTTCTTCTGAGAAGCAGCTGGTGGATTTGAACCGCCTGCACAAACTCCTTACCCACTCGGTCACCAGAGTACATTCCTAATTCTTTTTGTTGTTATTAATCATCTAAAATATATAGAGCAGTTCTGCAATTAAAAATTTTCTTATCTCCAATAAACACAAAGGGTACAGGCCAAAAATATTTGTGGAAACTTCTTGCAAACCAATGTTTCCTCAGATTCTGCGATAAGATTCACCACCTATGGAACTTTTTAAAGGCATAAAAATCCAAGCACTGAAGCAGGATTTCCAGGCAGGTGGTCTCTCCTGGGAAGGGCTAAGAAAAATCTCTGCAGGTGATTCTTATCATTGAGATGTTAGAGAAAGCACTTCAGCTGTTTACCTGTCCTGGGGCCTGGATGTAGGTAGGTGGGTGTCACCTAGAAGCTGTTTAGAAATGCTAATCTCAGACCCAAGAAGCCTATGAATCAGAATCTTCATTTACCAAAGTCTGAGAGTACCCTATTCCCCCCCCCCAGTAAAACAGCAAGCACTCTCTCTCTTCTTGCAAAATCCACTCATTTCCTTCTGTTAAATCTTGAAGATCCAGTTAACACTGGATTCTGTCCACAGCAGGAGCAGCCTCAGGTGAAAAACCCCCTTTTGACATTTCTTTGCACGGTCACGGTGGATTAGGGTTATTCATGAATGTCAATGTGTAAACTGGTGGCTTCGTTTCGGGTCTCGTTTGAACCCCTTCTGACCGGTTCTTACCTTCACAAGTTTTGCCATCACTTCTGAGCACCCGGCCGACCCCACACGCGCAGCGATAGGAGTTTTTGAGGTTCACGCAGATCTCGCTGCAGCCGCCGTTGTTTACCTCACATTCATTTTCATCTGTAGGGTAGAAGCCACACTGTCTATCTGCTGCGGAGCAATCCTCCCCCAAGCTCCTTAGCGTAAACTGCATCTTTTCAGATCGTTTAGATACAATTTCCTCAACTCTCATAGGGGAGATGTACTATGTTCCCTTCTACCACAGCAGTCACCTGCCTTCTGCTGTCCCTAGTGAGTGACTCTAAAAATGGGCATCTCAGATGATGAGGGTTGTGCAGGATGGGCCAAGGTTCAGATCTGTTTTCACTGGGTTGCTATGAGTTGTAGTCAACTTGACAGCACCTAACAGTAATAATGCAAACAGTTAAGGCTCTTGAGTGCTAACCAAATGTTGGAGATTACAATCTACTCAAAGATTCTTGAAGAAAGGACTCTATCTACTTCTGCCATAGCCAGAAGCTTGTCTTTAGTGGGTTGTATCTACTTAGTTTAGCCTAAAAAAATGTTTAAACACACAATGATGGGGAAGGTGGAAGGTGGACTGGGCAGCATTTCCTTCTATTGGACTCTGAGTACAAGCTGACTGACAGCGTGCACAACAAGTTCACTTTCCTGCACAACAGATCCACTTTGCTACAAAAGAGAGTAAGATTCTTTCCATCTTTGCAGCCTCTTTTGTGAATTGCCTGTGTGGTATCACATTCTGATTTCATGTTTATTCACTGATAAAATTGTTCATTTTTTAAAGAGGTTTTCTAGGTTTGGAAATAAGTTTTTTCATTGTATTGTTCTAGAACAATCTTTTCTAATATGAACAATCGCCCACGAAATCTACTTTAAAAGTTGAACTATTCTCATGATCTATGTAAGCAGTGATTGAATGCATTGTTGGCACTAAAGAAACTAACTTCTTTATATAAACAACAAAAAAAGAGCAGAGTGGGAGCTTGTGAGCTAAATTTGTGATGGCTTCCAGGAATAACAGATCTGGATAAAGGATGTACGCCAGAGCCTGGAGTTTCAACATCCACAAGGTGTCAGGAGACACTGCCTTGGACCCAGGAGAGGGGAGAAGCTGGAACTGAAACCCTTGAGTAAGCTCAAACCAGAAAATCAAACTAGTTGCCACCAAAATTATTCTTGACGCATCATAGTAACCTCATATGTGTCAGATGATAACTGTGCTCCATAGAGTTGTCCAAGCTGTGAACTTTCAGAAGTTGATTTCAAGGCCTTTCTTATAGAAAAGACATAAACTTGAATCTGTTGAGCGGACTTGAACCTCCCACCCCTTGGCCAGTAGCAGAGTGCAGAGTGAGTTAACTATTTATACCACCCTGGGACTCTTCATCTCCCTTACTCCTAATTGGTGCTATTAAGTCTCATAACCAAAATCCACCATGCAAGACCCCTAACCACTGTTGTGTTGTTGTTGTGTATTGTTGAATTGGAACCAATCCATAGCTGATTCTCCAGTGGGTTTTCAGAGGCAGTTAATCACAGGGGAGGAAGGAGACTGCCCATCTTTCTCCTGTGGAGCAACTGGTGGATTTGAACATTGTACCTTTGCACTGGCAGTACAATTCTTTACCAGTGACTTACCAGAGAACCCTAACCACTGTTCTGGTAAGGCTAAATGTGTAGAGAGCTCTGGTGGTGTAGTGTTAAGAAGTTGCATGTTCAACTCTAAAATATTCAGTTCAAATCTACCAGCTGCTCTGCCAGATGTGTAATCTCTGCCCTTGTAATTTAAAGTCTCTGAAAACCTGTTAGAGTCAGCTTTAAAAAAAATTTTTTTTACAATGGTTTATTTATAAAGTTCTAATACATTGTTTTTCACACTGGATCTTTCCCACTTGCTTCATGCACAACCCCATCAAATTGTGTGCCCCTGTGATTAAACTCCCGCCCCCACCCATCCTCACCTCTCTGCTTCCACCCTTCGCCCCCCTGGATCCTTATACTCATTCTACAATAATGGTTTTATACAGTACTTGTCCTTATAGGACTGAGTTCATGCAGCATGAGGGTCAGCTTGCAGTCAGTTTTGACTCAACAGTACACAACAGTAATAATGAATGTCCTCCAGTGGTGGTCACTGCCTTCGAGTTGGTTCCAGCTCATAGCTACCTTCCGTTGGATTTCTGAAGCTGTGAATTTTTATGAGAGGAGGCTGTCCATTTTTCTCCCTTGAAGCAGCTGGTAGATTTGAGTCACTGAGCCTTCAGTCAGCAGTTCAGTACATCACACATTAAGCCACCAGTAGGGGTCATTTAGGAGATTAAAGAACAAAAACTTTGCTAAATTAGCATGGCTTTTTATACCACTTTCACCCTAATGCCTGTCCTGTTCTAACCCTGCTGCTATTTTTGGCAGGAGTTGGGGGTGTCTACCTTCCCGTCCAGATTGCTTTTAAATGTATTTGAATCTGAATGCAAAATGCTGTATAATAGTAAAGGGAAGAAGCAATGATCCACATCTTGGGCTTCTTTGCTGTTTTCTTCCAGTCATAGATCACAGAGCATGAATAAAATTCACTAACCCTGAAAATGAACCTAAAAATGATCTAACTCCCTTTTCTTGTTAACCAGAGAAACCAAAATTGCATTAGCGTAGGAGTGGGTCCTGAGATAATCCTAGACCAGAGCTGTCCAAGAGAAATAGAAAGTAAGCATCGTTTGTGGATTTACATTTTCTAGTAGCTACATTGGAAAGAAAAAGTAAGTAAATAACAATACTGGTAAAATTGATTTTAATACTATCTTTTCTTAAGCCAATAAATCAAAGATTTCATATTTTTATGCAATCAGTATTCAAAATGATTGAGGTGGTTTGAGTTTTTTTTTTAAACAGTACTCAAAGTTTGCTATATTTTGTATTCATAGGACATCTCAGTTCAGATGGTAAATTTTCATTGGAAATATTTGGTCTTTACATATAGGGAGCCATAAACAGGGGACTTTCTGGTGACTGTAGGAGTTGAGCTTGGACCATTTATCCTGTCAAAGACCACTACATAGGGAGCTCTGATGGCCTAGTGATAGGAAGCTGCGCTGGAATCCTGAAAACACACGGTTCAAATCTGCCCGCTGCTCTGCAGGAGAAGGATGGGAAATCTCCCATGTGCTTTATGTGCCTCTGAAAACCCGCTGGGGAGTCTGCTAGGGGTCAGTTCCAACTGGATGGCAAACACCACCACCACCACCAAGCACTATTATAGGGAGCTCTGGTGGCCTAATGGCAAGGAGTTGTGCTACCATCCCAAAGGTACACAGTTTAAATCCACCGCCTGCTTCCTAGGAGAGGAATGGCCAGTCTCCTCCTCCTGTGTGATTTATGGCCTCTAAAAACCTGCTGGAAGGTCAGCTATAAGTCAGTTCCCACTCCACCACACATAACAACAATCACTACACAAATTTGACTTGAGATTTAGACAAGAATCAAACACCACCGCAAGTGCTTAGAGTCACAACTGGGAAATGATGCTCTGAGGCGGTAAGAGGGGTATCTGGCCCGTTGGTTCAGGGGTCTCCTCCCGCTTAGGGTTTGGGTTGGCGGCTCACCGAAGCATGTCTGCTTGTCAGGGCCCAGCACGCTGCCTGGGGCGCATGTGCACTCGTTAGTGTCCAGGCAGCTGCCGTGACAGTCCTCATCACAGATATCGTAGAAATCTGCGGAAAGACCAAGGCTGCGGGTTAGCAAGGGCAGTGGCTTCACCCTGGGACCAGCTCCTCACAGCACTGAGAATTCTGCTTGACAGAAGTTCCTACAACCCAACAGAAAGAGGGAGACCACCTAGGAGCGTCTCCTATCATTTTGGTCAATGATTCTCCACTTCAGATGACCAGACACTTACTGCAAATTAAAACCTCACCAGACATGAGCTCTAGACTAAGGGCTGAGGATTCCAGGGGAGATTAAGCACCAGGCCGCCAACAAAAAGTCTGGCCGCTTGAACCCCCAGGTGCTCTAGGGAAGGAGAGGTCTGTGATAAAGTAAAAGACAGTAAGGACAGCTGGACGCTGAGGGACCAGTCCTAGTCTGCTATGCAGGTCCCTGTGTGTCAGAATAAGCTTGACCACACAAGTTTTCCTTCCAGGTAACCTTCTAGTTATCTAGGCACTATATGGTTCAAATGTATACAGATTTTTATAGAATTAATACAGAAAATTATTTAAAAGTAGGGGAAGGTCTGGTGTAAAAAATAATGTATGTAAACCAGTATAAAAAAATTTTTTAAAAGAAAGTAAAAAAAAGAAAACATGAAGGAACAACAAATAAAAGTAATACTGAATTGATCTCAAGTGACCTATTATTTCATACATATATTTTTAAAATAATGGATACTAAGTATAAAAGTATAATGTGATGTCAGATATATATTGCTACTTATATCTGTCTATCCTTTTATCTGTGAACTTTGAAAAATTATGATAGTTATAGAAAGGCTTCAGGATTTTCGTTCATAGGGTCACTATGAGTCATGCTCACCTTGACGGCAATCAACAATAACATCTATCATCTATCTATCTATCTATTATCTATCTATCTATCTATCTATCTATCTATCTATTATCTATCTATCTATCTATCCATCCATCCATCTATCGATCGATCATCTATCTATAGCTATCATCTCTAGCTAGCTAGCTAGCCAGCTAATCTATCTATCAGACTTAAATGGTCTAAAGGTTTTGGACATGTCCTTCCACATTACAGAAATAATGTCGGCTGACCTGCTTCTGTAAAGTCTGCAGCCAAATTAGATGAAAATCAAAACAAGAATGAGAGACCATCTCACCCCAGCACAATAGCAAAGTTCAGTAAGACAGTAAACAAATGCTGGCAAGGGCATGAAAAGATTGGAACGCTCATGCACTGCTGGTGGGCATGTAAAATGGTGCAACCGCTATGGAGAGCAGTTAGTGCTAGAAAGTTGGGAATAGACATACCATTTGATGTGGCAATCTCACCACTAGGTTTATAGCCCAGAGAAAGAAATAAGAAGTGTGACATCAATATATATATATATATATCCATGTTCATTGCAGCATTATTTACAATAATGAAGTGATGAAAACAGCCCGACTGTCCATCATGGATGACCAGATAATATGTTGTTGTTGTTGTTGTTGTTATGTGCCGTCGAGTCGCCTGCGACTCATAGCGACCCTATGTACAACAGCCCGAAACTCCACTCTGTCCTGTGCCAATCACACTGTCTCTGACACTCCCGTCCCAATTATCCCAGTCACTGAATCAATCCACCTCATAGAGGGCCTTCCTCTCCTGCGCAATCCCTCCACCCTCCCAAGCATGATGTCCCTCTCCAAGGACCGGTCCCTCCTCACAACATGTCCAAAGTAAGTTAGACGAAGCCTCAGAATCCTTGCCTCCAAGGAGCCACCCGTTTTAACCCTCTCCAGGACAAATCTATTGGTTTTCCTAGCAGTCCATGGTATTCTCAGTGCTCTTCTCCAGCACCACAGCTCAAAGGCATCAGTTCTCCTTCTATCCTCCTTGGTCATTGTCCAACTCTCTGATGCATAACAGGTGATTGCGAAGACCATGGCCTGTATCAGACGCACCTTAGTCTCCAGAGAGACACCACTGCTCTTCAGTACTTTGGCGAGGTCCCTAACAGCAGACTTTCCCATGGCAATGCGCCTTTTAATTTCCTGGCTGCTGGTGCCAAGACTGTTGACTATGGAGCCAAGCAAACTAAAGCTGTGTACAATCTCAATCTCTTCACCATCCATCCTGATGCTGCCGATTGGTCCAGTGGTGAGAATCTTTGTCTTCTTGACATTGAGCCTCAATCCATATTGGAGGCTGCAGTCCTTGACACTCTGCAGCAGGTGCTTCAGGTCCTCCTCAGTTTCAGCAAGCAGGGTTGTGTCATCCGCATAACGCAGATTGTTGATAAATCATCCACCAATCCTGACCCCACATTTCTCCTCATAGAGCCCAGCCTCCCGGATAATCTGTTCTGCATATAGGTTGAAAAGGTATGGAGACAGGATGCATCCCTGGCGGACGCCCTTCCCAATTTTGAACCATGCAGTGTTCCCTTGCTCTGTTCTGACGAATGCTTCCTGGTCCAAGTATAAGTTTCGCATTAGAACGATCAAGTGTTCTGGGATTCCCATTCTTCTCAGAGTCAGCCACAGTTTGTTATGATCTACACAGTGGAATGAAATGGAATATTATGCAACATAAAAAGTGATCAAGAATTTTCTAAACACTTCATACCATGGGAGCTCTGGTGGTGTAGCTGAAAGGGCTTTGTGCTGCTCACTCAAAGGCTGAGTCTCTCTGGCAGTTTGTATCCACCAAAGGTTTCTAGCTACAAAGGTGGGCAATTTGTTCTCATTTTATTTACAGCCTGGGAAGCCAGCTGGAGGGTTAGTTATGAGTCCATTCTAACTCAATGGCAATGAGGAGGAGTACAACATGGATGAGTGTAAAGGAGATTATGCTGAAACATACAGGGGGCAATTAAAACTCAACTAATTGTTGTCAAGTTAGGACTGACTCATAGCTGACCCTCCAGCAGGTTTCCAGAAGTGATAAATCACACAGGAGGAGATCTCCCATCTTTCTCCCTCAAAGCCTCCGGTGGATTCGAACTGTCTGACTTTTGGCTTGGCAGAGTACCTCCTTTCCCACCAACCCACCAGAGGTTGATTGTTGTTATGTGCCTTCGAGTCACTTGTGACTCATAGCAACCCTATGTACAACAACCCTAAACTCTCTCTGTCCTGTTCTAGCCTGTTGGTTGATTAGTCGTTGTAATTAACTACATTAATAAACTGTGATTAATGTTATAAAATAATATGGATGAAATTGTAAGCATAATGTTACCAAACAAAATATGTATGAATTGAATGAAAAACTAATACAACTTTTTCCCAAATACTAGATACACTTAACAACAATAACAACACAGAGCTACTTTGGCCTAGAAGACAGAAAGTTATGCTACCAAACCCAGGGTGGGTGATTTTATTTTTTTTTTTAGGGTGGGTGATTTTAATCTGCAGCCCTCAGTCCTGGTTTTAATTGGTTTTGGTCAAACATTCTTCTAGGTGGTATAGCACTGGTCTGTGCATTGCTGTACAGAGGTTGCTGTGATGCTAAACACTGTGACACTGATGTGCCAAATGCAATAATGGTTCCCCATAGTGGACAGTGTTTGGTGGAGCTTCCCAATTAAAACAAGCCTGGAACCAGGAGTGGCATCCCCTTCCTAAATGGCTTGCATCCGGAAACTATGAACAGTGCTCAGGTCTTTCTTTCATAGTGTCACTATGAGTCATCTACGACTCGATGACACTTAACAACAAGTTTTAAATAAACTAAACCCAACTGCATCCACAAAATTCTACTCTATAAAAATTGGGTTAGAATTGATGGGACAGTTATGAGTTTAATTTTTAGTTTAATTGTATATTATAAGTGATCTTCCATACTAAAAAAATAAAAATAAAAATTGGGATTCATTGTTTTGGAAACGAAAATCAGCATTTCATTTTCTAATGTGTGAATAGAATAAAGACTAAATAAAAACAAATGGTCAAAGGCATACGGCTCTTCTCATTCTATTTCGTTGGGAACATCTCAGAAATCTAAGAACTGATTTCAGAAGTGACAAACAGCGGGTGTCAGTGCTCAAAATCAATGCTGTTCAGATCTGAGAACCTGCTGGTGCGGCAGGAATCCATGATGCTTTCCCCTGGGACCCAGTTTGTGTCCTTATGGACAGGGGAGCAGCAAGGGCAGGCACTTACGGCCGCAGTAGACGTGGAAGCAGACCGTGGGCTTGGTCAGGCGGTACACGTAGTAGCCCCCGGGGCAGGCCGTGACCTCCACCGTGGTGTTCCAGAGGCAGCAGTTCCCGCTGAAGCTCGCACAGGCCTGCCGCTGCACAATGCCGTCGCCTTCAAGCGGGTGGCTGCCGTTCAGCCAGACAGGCGCGTGGGTCCCACAGTGGTTTTCTGGTATGCAGAAGGTGGGCATAGCGTCCCCGGCCATGCCAGTGAAGCGGTACCACTCCCCGTCCACGTGGTTGTCACAGAGAGGGGGCCCCTGGGACTTGTCCAGCTTGTGGTCAGTGTTTCTCCATGGCTCATTCAGACTGATGTAGGCAGAACAGGGATTTAGGGCTGAAACAACAACCAACAGACACCTGTGAGGCTTCAGATTAAGGTGGGAACACCCTCAGTCCACCCCCTTGGTCTTGAGTTTGGGCCCTACTGGGATTTAAGAAAGAAATGATCCAAAATCTTAGGTGGGAGGGGAAGCTATTCAAGATTCTTCAGGCTCATTTAAACATCTTTCATAAAAAATGGCTTCTATAAAATTATTTGGAGATACATGGTTTGAATCCACCAGAGGCTTTGCTGGAAAAGGAGGGGCAATCTCCTCCTGTACCAGTCAGATCTGATTTGATGGTACACACACAAAATAATAAAATATTTTTTTTTAAAAAAAAAAAGGTTGTTGTTAGGTGCAGGTTTAGAATCAGCATTAGACTAAATTTTTATTCAGATTGATTGATCTCTTGGTATAAATACAGTGGTTCAGAAGAAGGTGGAGTAGATGCTGGGACTGCAGACTGCACATATTTAGAGTGTTGTGTTCATACTGAGAGGCTATATTTCAAAGATAATGAGACCTGGTGTTAGGAGGGAGTTCATAATACTTAGAAGGAGACCTTCAAATTATTTACTGAAAAGCTGAGAACTTTAGTCTGGAGAAGTGAAGATCAATGAGTATACATAGCAGTTTTTATAAAAAATAATAGAGAGAGCAGAGGAAGCATTAGGCACTCTGTTCTAGAGATCTGAAAAGCCTTGGTGGTCCAGAGGTTAAAGAGCTCAGGTGTTAACCAAAAGATGGGCTGTTTGACCCACCAGCTGCTCCACAACAGAAGGACCTAACACTCTGCTTCTGCAAGATTTACAGCCTTGGGATCCCTGTGGAGCCGCTGCGCACTGTCGTGTGAATGGCTATAAGGTGGAATGCATTCAACAGCAGTGGATTTGAGTGTAGGTTTGGTTTTGATGTTATTGCAAAGAGGAGAAGAAATTGCCATGGAAAAGCATATTTCAAGCCAACCGTTTAGTAATGGGAGAATCTATGTCACAGCATGGTTGGCTCCCTATACTTGGAAGGATTAAAAATTTATTTGGAAGATTACAGATAGATTGTATATTAACAGGACTTTGTTGTGATAACAAATGCATGAAGCTTATACCATTGAAAAGAAAAAGTACTCAGATACATGACAGACAAGGCCTTTGTAATATTCCATTCAGTGGCAAGCAGTGACCGAAGATATTCTCAAAGTGATTTTTAAATATATTCCACCAGTTAATTGTCAATACTATGCCATTTACATATTCATAATTAACCATGGCATGGCTAACCCAGCTATAATACAGAAAATATCTCAAGCATGACTTTCAGTGCATAAAATTACATGGACAAATATCTCATCAAAGCATTTTAATGACCAAAGACACAAACATCCTCAATACCCTCACTGCTTTCTTCCACTTCAGCAAATTCAGAATTAATTTAGGTAAATGTCTTTGTGAAGAGTTTATGAAACCAAGAAGTTCTAAAAAGAATCACTTCAGGGCACAGTGGTTACAGTGTTCAAGTACTAACTGAACGCTGATGGTTCAAACCCACCTGATCCTAAATGGAAAAAAGATATTACAATCTGTCTCTAAAAGAGATTTGCAGCTTTATCACTCTGCAGGTTCTCCTCTGCCCTGTAAGTTGCTGTGAATCAGAAGTGACTTGAAGGCAACGGTCTGTTGTTGGGCAGAGATTACTCATTAGGATGGATACATCTGTGGGTGGGAAATGCAGTCAGCTGTGGGTCAGCTCTGAGTCAAATCTGACTTGATGACAATGAGTGCATGAAAGTACAATAAGTGTGGACAGACCATGATGATAAAATCGGAAACAAATTTTAGATTTCTTCAGTCTGTATTTCAAACTCTTATCATCTCAACCACAGTAACAAGCAGAGGAGGGACAGAGCAGTGCTAATGGAAGGAGAAAGGCATCACGCTTAATGGAGAGTCTGAGAAGAAGGAAGATCTTTAAGAGAAGGAACCGTGGCTAGAGCAGAGCCGCGAGCCTGAGGAGGGCGCCGGAGTGGCAGGGTTTAGTTCTGACACACCCAGGCTTGCTTTGAGTTGGAACCAACTTGATTGCACCTAATAGAAATACAAGATCTAAGGAGACTTGCATTCACAAAGCGAATCCATCTGCAGAGTTGCAGTGAGTCTGTGTGATTAATTGGCTTACTCCTAGGAAACATTCTTGAGGGTCCAGTCAAGCCCTAGACCTAAGCTCGATATTCTTCAAAGAGAAGGAATGTTCTACGAAACTCTTGCCTTTCTCCAAATGGAAATATTCCTCATCTCCCCTCCTAGTTGTGGTAAGATTTGCAGGGTAATTTCACAGACGATTACAAATTCACAGAAATATTTGCCTCATCTCTCTTGCTCTAATTTGATAGGAAGGAAAATGTGTCTCTCCACAACTATTTCCTGATTTTCCCCTTACATTTTTTATGACATCCCATGTCTAATTTTTAAAAAAATATTAGTAAAGGTTCACAAAGATATTAGTTTTCATTCATTCACACAGTTTCCTCCCCTCCTCTCTCTCCAATTCTCTTTGCCATGCTTGCCCTGTTCTAGGCTACTACTTGTCATAGTTTTTAACAGTCCTTTCCTTTCTGATTGTCCTTCCTTCCAGCTGTTCCAGTGCAATGTTCATTACTTATGCATCCTTTCCCCATTCTTTGCTCTCTGATCTCAACCTTAATACAACAGTGGGCATGTTAGTTGTTGTTATGTGCCATTGAGACACTTTTGACTCACAGCAACCCTATGCACAATAGCTCTGAACCCTGCCCTCTCCTGAGCCAATCTCACTGATTCAGACGCACCCACTCCTGCCACCCACTTACTGTGTCAGTCCATCGCATCCAAGGCCTCCCTCTGCATTCTTGTGCTGTTTAAAATTCCCTTCCTCTCAGATTGTAAGGGAGATAGGAACACAAGGAGAAATTTAGTGTCTAAAACTAACCAAAATATTTCTTTTTATTTATTATTTCTTTTTCAGTAAGATAAGTGATTTTTAAAAATTTTACTCTGATTTATTTACAAGGGATAAGTAATTTTAAAAAAATACAGAATATTTTCTTTTCTACTGTTGAGTGTTTCAATTTTAGTATATGTGCGGCTGAAGTGAGCACTTTCTATGCATCAAAGCAATTTTCAACTGCTTCCTTTGCGCTTGAAAGTTGGCAATGAATAAAGATGATAGAAGAAGAGTAGATGCCTCTGAGTTGTGATGTTGGGTCTGACTACTGAAGGGACTGCCGAAGAGCAAACTGGAGGAAGTGCAACCAGGGCGCCCCCTAGAGTTCTTTACACCTCATCTCACATACTCTGGGCATGTTGTCAGACAGAAGTCAGTCCTTGGAAAAGGACATCATGTGGTGAAAGGTGGAAGATTAGAGCAAGATAAGAAGAAACATACTGAGTTGCAGATAAAGAGCTACTTCTGCCCTTTCAATAGGAACATTTTAAAAGCACAGCCCTGTGGTTTCCTTCACAGGTTGAATCAGGAGCCCAGACCAGCTAGAAGGTTCCTCGGCTGTTTATTTGCATGGCATCTGGCTGCCACCTAGCCAGGCCACCCAGGGCAGGTGTGGGGGATATGGCATCAGGAGTCACCCTCTCAGGTGCCCACGAAGGAATTCAAGGTCCACGCCTGGAGGCCACCCTGAGGTCTGTGGCCTTAATGTTTTCCAGAAGCCTCTTCTCCCACCTCCTCCCCTCTGCTCCGCCTTTGCTCTCCATTTCTCCTTTCTCTACCCTCTGACTTCCTCTCCCCCTTCTCCTCCCTCAGCCAACACCCATACCAGGCCTGAAAGGTCTCTTTATCTCGCTTCTGGCATTGAACCAAACATTCTGCAAAGGCAGAAAAAAGAAATAGGAAGGATCTTGGCAGGTAGAGGAGACATTGGAGAGCGGATAAGCAAGGCAAGGGAGAGGGAAGAAAGGAAAATAGGAGTCCAGGGAAGATTTTTCTGATGTGACCTTTGGTTGTTACTAGCAGCAGATACTGGGTGATTAATCAAAGCTGCAGGAGCCCTGGAGGAGCAGTGGTTCCAGAGCTCTGCTGATGGTCAAAAACTCAGCTGTTGGAACCAGGTGTGCTCATTGGGGAAAGAAATTGGTAGGCTCCTGTAAAGATTTGTTGTTAACATAAGGTGTGATGGAGTCTACTCGGGGACCCCAACACAGAGCCATCCCACGCATGGAAGAATCGAGCCTTGCCTGATTCTGCACCGGCTCACAATCCCTGCTGACACCTGTCTTTGCTCACCCTCCCACTTCCAGGCATGATATCCTTTTCCAAGGGTTTGTCCTTTCTAACAGCTTATGTGGGACGAAGTCTCTCACCTTTGCGCCCTCAGGACTTGGGAATCCTCTGGGGCTATTCTCTACACTGTAGGGTCCTTTGAGTTGGAATCTGCTCTGTGGCAATTGATTTAATCTGGGCTTTACTCAAAGCTAGCTCGAAGTTTTTATTTTCTGTTTCAATATACTTTTTTTTTTATAACAGTTGTAGATTTACAGCAAAACAGAGCAGAAAATTCCCATATATCTACTACCCAGTTTCCTTTATTAGGATGAATATCACACATTTGTGAGATGTTTGCTATTTATGAGTCAGCATTAATATGTAATTGTTAATTAAATTCATAACTTATTCAGATTTCCTTAGCTTTTCCCTAATGTCTTTCTCTGTCCTGGGATCCCATCCAAGATCCCACACATCTCTCTTACCTCTCAAGCTTATTTTTTAAAATTTTTTAATTATTATTAATTTTAATGAAAGTTTACAGAGACAGGATTTCCATTCATTCATTGTTACTCTCTTCTCCCTGCCCACCCCTTCCTCCCCCCAATTCGTTCTTCTCTTTGAAAAGTAAAAGAAATATTCTTTTCATTTGTTATACAATCCCTCCCCTCCAAGTTCACTCCACTATGCAGCCTTCATTCTGGAATGCTGTCACGACAATAATACCTAATCACATATCCCTTTTAAACGGTTTTCTCCCTCATCTTTTTCAATGCAGTATGCATAATTTATCCCAACTTTCTCAGTCTCCCCCCAACACTGATGTCAATCCTATTTTACAACAGTGGTACTATACAGTATTTGTCATTTTGTGACTGAGATACTCTACTCAGCATAATGTCTTCCAGGGTCACCCATTTTGAATAATATTTCATGAGTTCCTTGTTTTTCAATACAGCATAGTATTCCATCGTTTGAATATACCAGAAATTCTCTATCCATTTGTTTGTTGATGGACACTTAGGTTGTTTCCAACTCCTTGCTATTGTGAAAAAAGCTGCTATAAACGTGGGTGTGCATATATCTGCTTGGATGGCAGTTATGGTCTCTTTAGGGTATATTCCCAGTAGTGGAATTGCTGGGTCAAATGGTATCTCTATTTGCACCATACCACCTTCCACAGTGGTTGCACCATAAAGCTCATTTTTAATTTATATGAAGTGTGAGAGCAAGGATCAGTTCCCTAGATACACACATTAGAGTCCATTAAGTGTGGAGCTACTACAGGAACCTGCAAGGGAACTCGGAAGGCCTCCTTTAGTGGTTTGAATCCTCCACAGGAGAGAAAAGGACAAACTCCTCTTATGCAATTTATAGCTTCAAAAACTCACTGGACTGACATCCAAGCAGATATATGCACACCCATGTTTATTGCAGCTTTGTTCACAATAGCAAGGAGTTGGAAACAACCTAAGTGCCCATCAACAAACGAATGGCTAGAGAAGCTGTGGTATATTTGCACAATGGAATACTATGCTGCATTAAAAAATAAGGAACTCATGCAATATTATTCAAAATGATTGACTCTGGAGAACATTATGCTGAGTGAAATATCCCAGTCACAAAAGGACAAATATTACATGATGCCACTGTTGTAGAATGGGACTGTCCTTGGGGTTGAGGAGAGACTGAGTAAGATGGGTTCAATAATGTATACTACACTGAAACAGAGGAGGGAGAAAACTGTTTAAAAGAGATATATGACTAGGTATTTCTGTCATCACAGGAGTCTAGAGCGAGGGCTACATGGTGGAGGGGACCTGGGGGAGGGTTTGTAAAACAATGAAAGAATCCTTTCTTTTACTTTTCCATAATTTTTGACTCATGTACTTATAACTTGTTAGTCAAATTTGTGTCTTCTAGGTTGCAACACCCCCATGATACATCTTCAAGGATATGAACATGTACGGCCAAGCACAATCAATAAGAGTGCATCTAAATTCCAAAATCAATCTCCATAATAGTCTATGTGTTTCCTACTGCCAAAGGGGCCCTTTAGAGTAGTGAGAGAAGATCTTCACCCTGAAACTCACAGCGTCCCTTTTCAGCAGGAAGTAGCTAAGAGAATATGCCATCCCCTTTTCCTTATGAATCAGGGTGAAGTCTCTCTCAGGGAGGAGTGATAGGGAATGGCAAAGGACACACTGACAAAGGAGATTAATCAGAACTGACTTTGACAAGCACTGTGGCAATTGGACAATTAAAACAGACATTCGGATGGCGGGGGAAGAAGAACAAACTGGGGAGGAGGGTGGAGAGAATGGTGCGGCAATGAAGGAGTGAAAGCCCAGAACCCCTGTGAATGTTCATTGAAACTAATAAAATTTAATAATAATAATAAAAAAACAAACAAAAAAAAACCTCACTGGAGGGTCAGTGAGGATCAGATCTGACTCAGCAGCAATGAGAGAGAAGCAGGTACCTAAGAAGGAAGGTTCTCTTCTCCTCACCCCAGACCCTCTCCTCCAAGAACTGATACTTTGTCTGAGAAAGAGGGAGAGAGAAGAGAAGGGGAAGATGGGAGAGAGGAAGAGAGGGGGAGAGAAGAGGGGATGGATAGAGTGGGAGAGGGAGAGAGGGAGAGAGAGATTTGTTAGTAACTGGAACTGAAGTAAAAAAAAAAAGTTTTGCTTTGTGCATCAGTTTTACATCACACCAGAGGAATGAAACCATTAGTCTGCTTGGTCTGTGTAAAAGGCCTTTTTTTTCTAGGATCAAGTCTGGCTTTATCCAGATCTGTGCCTTTCATGGGAGTAGAATCCTTCGACTGATTCTAGAAGAAACTCTCCCCTCAGCTCTAAATATCAAGTTTGATTTTTTTTTCTTTCTCTCTTATAGTGGGAACTGTAAAAGTATCCAGGGTCTAAAGGGGCTAGAATTGCATTATACACATATTCTAAGAAACAGTAAGCAATCGGATATGGCAGATCCATGGGAATTTTAGATGCCCAGACTAGCGGCTAACTGTTGTTTGTTGTGTACCATCGAGTTGGAACCAACTTACAGCTGATCCTCAAGTGGGTTTTCAGAGGCAGTTAATTGCATGGGAGGAGACTGCCCATCTTCTCCTGCAGAATAGCTGATGGACTTGAACCGTGTACCTTTGGGATTGCAACACAGCTTTTTGCCACCACTGTATTTATTATGTGCCGTCAAGTTGCCTGCAACTTAGACTGTATGTACAACAGCTTTGAACCCTGTTCTATCCTGAGCCAATCTTATTTGCCTCTGACACACTCACTCCCATTACTCCAGTCACTGAACCAATCGATCTCATCAAGGAGCTTCCTCTCTTGCACTGTCCCTCCAACCTCCCAAAGCATAATGTCTTTCACCTAGGGCTGGTCCCTACCTGCAATGTGCCCAAAGTATGTCAAATGGAGCCTCAGAATCCTTGCCTCCAAGGAGCAGCCTGGTTTCACCCTCTCCAATACGAACTTTCTTTTTAATTATTATTTTGCTACTAGGCCACCAGAATTCTCTATAAACCTATCATCAGTGAATTATCTTATGCTCACTCAAAATACTCATAGCCTTAGTTGTAATTGACTCATAGCTGACCCTGAAGTGGGTTTTTGGAGACTATCAACCACACAGGAGATGTGAACCATCAACCTTTGGATTGGCAGTACAACTTCCTACAGACGAGGTCACTAGTGTGCCTCTTAACTCTACAACCAGTATTGGTTTCTGGCATAAAAGCAAATTCCAACGAGAACTTCACATAAGCAAGACTCACCGATTGGCAGTGCTGGCGTGAGCACGCTGCTGAGGCAGACGAAAAGCAGAAGCCAGGGCATCCCGCTGCCTCAGTCGCAGCAACAGACTGGAAATGTCTGTCAACACCAGTTTTCCTTTGTCCTCAGATTTTGCAAGCACATTTCTCTTTACCCCACTTCATATCTCCAGGCTCTTCTGAAGAAAGTATTTATCGTTACTGGTGGAGGTGTTATCAGAGGAAGAGGATGAGTAGAATAATATGTCCGTTGCTCTAGCCTTGACCCCAGATAGACACACTGCTTTATGCTGTCAACAGGGATGGATTTCTTGAGGAAAAAACTCACTATCCTTCATCCTCCTATTGTTTTTCCTTAAGAATTCCCTACTGTGACACCTCCACTATCTTATCCAGATGGGAATTGTAAATGAGGGACATCCCTTCATGTCAAAATCTTGTTTCTTCTAGAAACTGACTTCATGATGTAGCAGGCTTAGCATTGTGTATTCAGTGAAAATGACATTGTGTCAGATGGTGGAAATGGTGAGCAGGAAAGAGTTATAACACAAGAAAGCAAGGACAGGTAGAATGGGAGTTATTCTCCATGAAACAAACTGCTAAGTCCCTTTTATTATGATGGTTTGGGTCTCACACTTTCTAAAGAAGTAAGACTTAATTTGTGTTCCCTGCAACTCAAGTAGTGTCATTAGTTTTCATAGTATTTTTCTTCCCCAAACTTCAACATAGTTTAGCATTATTTCACTGCTCCTCACGCCAAGATAGGGATTGTTGTTGTGTGTTGTTCAGTAGTGACCCTCCAGGACTGAGTAGATGTGTCCCATTGTATTCCCAAAGCTGTAATCTTTACAATGTGTTTCTGTTAAGATTACAGCCATAGAAAGTCTTTGGGTCACTTAGAATTGACCCAGCTGCAATGAGTTACTCTTTATGGAAGCAGATCATGTATTTCTCAGATGAGTGGTTGGTAGATTGAACAACCAACTGAGCCCTAAATTGGTGTACCTTAGTCTGATTCCTATTCATAGCATCAGGATTGGAGGAAGACTCATCAACAACCTGTGTTATGTGGAAGACACAACTTTGTTTGCTGAGAGTGAGGAGGACTTAAAATGCTTGCTGCAGAAAATCAAAGACTACAGCTTTAGTATGAATTCTATTTCAACATCAAGAAAACACAAAGCCTTACTACTGAGCCAGTAGGCTACATCATGATGTTGTTGTTGTTGATTGACTTCAAGTCGAGCATGACTCATAGCGACCCTATGAACAAAAGACCTTCAGGGGTTTCAGCCTCTCTAGAACTATCGACATTTATCAAAGTTCATAGAGTTTCCGGAGGCATGTTATTTAGGAAGTGGGGAAAAGTATTAAAACTATTCTGAAAAAAGATAGTAAATTATTTCCTTTTGGATCCACAATCAACACCCTTGGGACTAGTTGTCAAAAATCAAAAGATGTATGGCCTTTGGAAAATCTACCATCAAGGACATCTCTAAAGTGCAGAAGAATAATGATACCAGTTTAAAGACTAAAGTTCACCTGATCCAAGTCATGGTCTTTTCAGTTACTTGCTATGCATCTATCTGAACAATGACTAAGGATGCCAAAAGGAGAATGGGTACCTTTGAGTTCTGGTGTTGGACAAGAGTACTGAATATTCCACGGTGTGCCAAAGGAACAGATAAGACTTGGAGAAAGCGCAACCCAGGTGCTCTTTGGAGGCAAGGATGGTGAAGCTTCGCCTCATAAACTTTGGACATTTTGTTGGGAGGGGGTCAATTCTTGGGAGAGGACATAATACTTGGAAAGGTGGAGAGTCAACAGAAGAGAGAAAGACTCTCAACAAGTTGGACCAACACAGAGACTATAAATGACAATGATGAAGAGGAGGTCACAGGATAGGGAAGGGTTAATATCCATTGTTCATACGGTCACTATGAGTTGGGGTCGACTTGATGAACCCAAACAATAACAATACTGAAAAAAGGAAGCCTAGTGGTGCAATAGTTAAGTATTAAGCACTCAGCATCTAACTGATGGTTGGTTGTTTGAATTCACCAGCGACTCGGAAGGTGAAATGGTGGTCGGTTTCAATCAAGACCTACTCTTTCCTAAAGGGTTCCTGTGAGTTGAATCTCCTTAATGGCAATGAGTAATAGTGAAGGTGTCTCTGGACAGTGCAAATAGTCATGAGTCTCTGGGGCTGACTGACAGGGTGGAGATGAGAACCTGCACAGAGACACCTCGGAAGGAAAGCCTGGTGATCTACTTCTGAAACCCCAGCCATTGAGGACCCTATGGACACAAGGCTACTCTGACACACGTGGATCAGAATGGACTTAATGGTAACTAGCTAATACTGAAAATTAGGGGAATGCAAAGGATAAAAGAAATGTGGTTGTTATTGTTATGTGCCAATGAGTTGCCTGCTACTCACAGCCACTCTATGTATATTTGCTCTGAAACCTGCCCTATCCTGAGCCAATCTCAACATCTCCGGCACACCTAATCCCCTTTCTCCAGTCACTGAATCAATCCATTTCATCTGGAGCCTTCGCCTCTGCGCTGTCTCTCTACTCCTGGCCACACGCTTAAAGTGTGTGAGACGGAGCCTCCAAATCCTTGCCTCAAGGGAGCAGCCTAATTTCACCCTCTTCAGGACAGATCTGTTTGTTCTCCTGGCAGTCCACAGCATGTTCACAACTCTTCTCTGGCATCACAACTCAAGGGCATCAATCCTTTTTCTATCATCCTTAGTCATTGTCCAGCTCTTGGATGCATAGAGTAATTGTGAAGACTGTGGCCTGTATCAGGCACACCTTAGTCTCCAGGCTGATGTCATTGCTCTTTAGTACTCTGGTGAGGTCCCTGACAGCAGATTTGCCCAATGTAATGTATATTTTTAAAAATTTCTTCTGTTTACAAATTTTTAATATTAATTGTGATTTTGATGAAAGTTTACAGAAAAATTGCATTTTTCATTTAGTGTTTCACATTTTCCTGTCTCCCCCTCACTTTAAAAAAAAAAAAATTGCAATTTGTCTTTTGATTTCCTGACTGCTGGTGCCAAGAGTGTTGATTGTGAAGCCAAAGAAGCTGAAGTTATCAACAATTTCAATCTCTTTTCAATCCATCATGAAGCTACTAATTGGCCCAATGGTGAGAATGTTTGTTTTCTTGATATTGAGCTTTCATCCATATTGAAGACTACAGTTCTTGACTTTCTGCAGAAAACGCCTCACGTTCTCTTAAGTTTCAGCAAGCAAGGCTGTGTCATCTGCATAACTCAGGTTATTGATAAGTCTTCCTCCAACCCTGATGCCACATTTCTCCTCATAAAGTTCAGTCTCTCCAATGATCTGTTCTGCATGTTGATTGAAAAGGTGTGGAGATAGGATGCATCCCTGATGCACACCTTTTCTGATCCTGAAACACACAGTGTTTGCCTGCTCTATTCTGACTACTGCTTTCTGTATAAGTATTTGTGTATGAGCACAAATAAGTGTTCTGGGATTCCCATTCCCCTCAGAGTTAGCCACAGTTTGTTGTGATCCACACAGTCATTTGCAGAATCAATGAAACACAGATAGACATTCCTCTGGTACTTTTCTTTTTTCAGCCAAGATCCATATAACATTAGCTATAATTATCTCCATTGCCACAGCCCCTTCTTTTTCTTTAAAAAAAAAAAGTATTCTTTACCAGATCTGACTGGTACACAAGGAGATTACTCCTCCTTCCTCAGCACAGCATCTGGTAGACTTGAACTGCATACCTCTGAGATTACAGTGCAGCTTCTTGCCACTAGGCCACTAGAGCTCCCTTGTCATGGCCTCTTCTAAACTCAGTTTCTTCTAAACTCAGCCTGCACATCTGGCAGTTCTCTGCTGATGTACTTTTTCAGGACAACCTTCAGCAGGATATTGTTTGCTTGTGATATTGGTGCTATTCCTTGATGATTTCCACACTCTGTTGACTTACCTTTTTTTTGGAATAGGAATAAATACAGATCTTTTCCAGTAATAAACATGGGGGTGGGAGGGGAGGAGAGCTATGATGGCCTATTAAGGAGTTGAGCAGTCAACCCAATATATATGATTCAAATCCACCATCTCCTGTGTGAGAGAAAGATGGGCAGGTAATCTCCTGTCTGAATTATGTCCTCTGAAAACTCACCTATGAGGGTCAGCTTTGAGTCGGTTCCATCTTAATGGCACATAACAACAATGCCCTAAATGGTATTAAACAAAAATCTTGACTGAGACTCAAACTGCCAGAAAATCAGGCTGGGTTTAGAAGAAACTGCGGCACAAGGGATATCATTGCTGATGTCAGATGGATCTTGGCTGAGAGTACCAGAAGGTGTCTATTTGTGTTTTATCTACTATGGAAAGGCATTTGACTGCAGAGATCACAAAAAATGTGGCTAACATTAGAAGAATTGGGAATCCCAGAACACTGAATTGTGCTCATACGGAATTTATACTTAGACCAAGAAACTGTGTTAATAGCTTAGCAAGGGAACATTGCATGGTTTCAAATCAGTTAAGGTGTGTGTCAGGGCCGTATGAAGTAGAATTATGAATGTAAGAAAATGGAAGTTGTAAAAAATAAAATGGAATGTATGAAGATTGCTATTCTAGGCATCAATTAATTTAGATGGACAAGTATGGACCACTTTTAATCAGACAATTACATGATCTGCTATATTGGGAATGAAAAACTTAGGAAGAATGGAGTTGCTTTCATAATTAAAAGTCTATTTCAAGATCCATCCTAGAGAACAATGTTGTGAGTGACGTATACTACTCATATGCCTACTAGGACGTTAATATGATGATTATTCAAATATATGCACCAACAACTAAAGCCAAAAAGGGGAGATTTAGAATTTCTCCCAATATTTTCGAGCTCTGATGGCCCAGTGGCAAGAAGCTATGCTACAATCCACAAGGCACGTGGTTTGAGTCCACCAGCTGCTCCACGGCAGAAGAATGAGCAATCTCCTCTGTGCAATTAACTGCTTCTGAAAACCTGCTGGAGGGTCAACTATGGATCAGT